TCAAAAGTCCTAGGTCTCAGCAACCCCCTACAGTACACTGAGACAAATAATTTATACTTTCCTAATGATATATAATATATGTATATATCATTTCACATGCATACAGTCATTTAAATTAAAATTTTTATTTATATTCTATTTATATTTATATATATTTATGTTCTGTATGATACCTACTAATAATTTTATTTTATTTATATTTATTAATGCATTGATTGCTATTGGCCAATCACTCATTTGTGATCGATATCTGAGAGATACATGTATCTTTTTTCACTGCACGAATGCCAGCAAGTTCAACTGCAAATGCGAAAACTCATTTCAATAACAATTGCAGCGACCCAAAAAAGGCCGAAGGAAAAACGGCAACAGCAGAGCTCAATTTGCTGGCGTGTCCAGTCTTTTGCTAATTGCTTTGCAGCTGCAAGGGGCGGAGGCCACGCCCACACGTGCCCCGCAGACCCATTGGCCATATCCCCACGTATGCACATAGCTCGTATATCCGTACATATACCATAGTTCATGTTGACCCAAGTCTAAGGCCCCAGACAAAAGACATAAACCCAGTTACCGTTAGCTGCGTAATTTATGCAAATGACTTTGTTTAATTAGCAAAGCCGAGGAAAAACAAGAAAGCCCGTGGACATGCGCCACCAACAAACTCCCCCCACTCTTCAGTGGCGCTTCCCATAATAACATTTGCATAGACATTACGATATGCAGGAAGGCACGATCGCTTTTCTGCGGATCGTGCCCCAAACTTTGATTTTTGATTGCTCACCTGCCGAACTGTGTGTCAGAATGCAGATTGCACCGGGCAAACAAAAAACGAAACTCATTTGAGCATATGTATGCATAATTGTTAGCCAAACTAGCCTAAACAATGGAATGTATTAATACATATTTTTGATTTGTGTCATTTTCCGCCTTGTCACATTATTTACACTAATTTTTGATGGCGATAACGTCATTAGATTTACATATTTATTTTATGTGTTGACATCAAAATGGGATAGGGCTTTCATTTTTATAGTGGAAGAAAATAGTTATATAAAATATAATATTAAATGCCTATCTTTTATTGAACTTATCTTAAACAGAAAAAATAAGGTGCAAGATTTCCGCAGAAACAATCTTTGTTTACCCAAAAAATAATCAACGATTGAATTCTTTATCAGATCAAAGTTGAAAATATACACTTTATTGAAAATTGAAATAAATTTTCATTAAAGACAACACGGAAACAATTTACACTGTCTTAAACAACGTTATCCAGGTGGAAATTACCATATACTACACAAACAAATTAACATAAATTGTACATTGAAAGCAACTCAGAAATATTGACAAGAGTTTAATAAAGACATTGTCTTGAAGTTCTCACGATAATTAATTCCTAATCCATTTATGGCATTGTTTGGCAGCCAAAGCACATAAATGAAAGATACTCGGTAAGCTTAGTTTGTTGGTCGCTCCACAAAAATGCAAATTGCATCCATAAGTGACAAGACAGGATCGGCAATGCGATTTTGAGCAAGATTAATGCACTAGGAAATGTCGCACGTCGCTTGACACACATTCAATTCATAAGTAATTGCAATTAATTAAAAATATTTGCATATGACTTACACAGGGCAAACAAATTCCAAGTGACCCGCAAGTTCAGAGAAAAACAGAGATAATCGTGGCCAGGTTTTAATGTCTTTTATAAAGATGATTCGAAGCACTCGCGAATAAATCAAAGCACAATTATGCCAAATTTGCAATCACAAACAATAAATTGAATTGAGTTTTTGCGCTGACATTAAGCAGATACGCATTTTGCCATTTTTGTGTGCAATTAAATATTTTAATGGCCATGAAATCAGATATATATACTCACTCACTCGTATTCGTAAAATTTACGGCTCTTGTGATTTTCCGGATTCTGCGTTAGCCGCTTCCGTATGCCAGGCGCAAAAACTGAGCGAACTGGCTGCGATCTTTGAGATACAAATTTCCAGCTGGCGCGGCGGAGCTAACGAATTCCAAACCGATCGCTTAGAAGTCCCGAGACGAACTGAAAATGCACAGCCGAAACCGAAAGTCCAGTTAACGATCGGCGATCAACGGCGCTGCCAGTGCTGTCGGTAAGTATTCGTTCATTTTCTTAAACATTGATTATTTTATATTTCTTGTTTACTTTTTTGGAGTCGGATTTCGATGCGAGTAATTAACTTCCGTAAATAATACGTCTTTAGTAGCATTGAAAATTTCAGATATGTCTTAAGCTTAAACTGAAAGAATACATTTCTAGAAAACAGTATGCCACAAAAACTACTAAAAAAATTTAAGATTACACTGCTCAAAAAAAAAAAGTCTTAATTTTTATTTTCATCTTAGTAACGATCAGTAGTTCCACAGATGAATTTCACCTGGTATTAATCGTAAAACAAGAAGTTATTTTTATAGCCAGAAATAGCCAGCTGGTCTTCACTGTCAGACCAGTCGAAGCACACGTTCGTTGCACATTGGCTGGTTCGCTCAAACGAAATTGGACCGATGGGGCAGAAGTTGGCTTCCTTTGTTCGATGCAACTGGAACAGAGGAGCGGATGAGTTCGCCAGGCGGAAGAGCACTTTGTGGAGGTGTGGGGGGGTGGAGGTGCAGTGGGGCGGAGTGGGTGGTGGACGGCGGGCGGTGCAGTGGGCAGATATGCCCTCGGCTGGTCGTTGGCTGGTTTTTGAGTGCATTACAGCTGTTTTGTTTATAGGAGAATCATCTCTACACTCCCGGCACAGTCGAAACTATTTGGAGTTGCGGTTTATGCTTTTTATGGTCCGCCGGTGTTGTTCTTGCAACCACGGCTGCTTTTGTTGCTCCTTCTCCGGTCGGTGGCAAGTTGTTAAGTTAAATATTTACCCACCGATGCCGGGCAGCCAGTTTAGGCCACGGCTCGCTGATCTTTCACATCGAGAATCCCAGTCCCAGAGCGAAGAACTCGTTTTCAGCCCTACTGTCCATATCGGGTGCTGGATCTGTCGTTGTCATCATAAGAGTGCTACTGTCAGCCACACTCGAAAAAAAACAATGTGCCTAGATCTCCTTTAGAGGACATGCACTAAATATGATTTAAGGCTCTACATATATTTTGAGAAACTTATATAGTTGTATTTTATTTCCGTTTCTAGAAGTAAATTATTTAGGTAAATTTTATTTCTCCAAGTGCATTGCCACATACTATTAGCCACTGGCAACAGAATAGCTGCCCACTGTCCAAATGCTGAGCACATTGGACATGTCAAAAGGATTTCAGCTTTCGTCTGTGCGAATCCCATAAACTGGTTGCCATTCCCTGGCCAACAGAATGGTCATAAATCGAACGATGTGCCAGCCATTGACAGTTCGCTTAGCTGCACAAAGGTACGCTCTTTTTTAATATTATGTGTGTTTCTTCGGTTTCCTCCGCCGCCGCCAATCACAATTTATTGGGCTATTAGTTGCCACTTGAGTGGGGCTTCGAGTTTGGGGAACACCCACGCCGAGTTCCCAAATCAACTTCAAATAAAGCATAAAAGCATAAAAGCTGATAACAAAGCCAGGTACCCCGCTCAGACAATTAACTGATAACAATTCATTACCATTTCGTGTGGGTTGCCCATCGCCATCGTCATCGCCTTCATCGAAATCACGATCTTTTTCATCAGCTGCAGCAGCTCTGCATTTGAGTTTAGGTAATTTGACAGCCATTTGATGAGTGACAACATGTGGTCGAAGTTTAGCTTCTTTAATGGCTTGGGTGGGAAGCAGCATGGATTTCATTTTGTTACAGCCAATATAGAATAATGAGAAGTATGAAAAACAAACCATGCATATAAGGTATACTAAGGTTGTGAACCATAAATACTATTGATTGAAAGATACCACTAAACACTGTGTCGATTGTTAGGTAATTAAAGTTTTATCACGGCTTTTATTTAAATTAAGCATTTTAATTGAAATTTAAATATTATTTCAAATAAACATTGCTGGCATGTGCTTGCTTTAATTCAGAGCAGAGTTCAGTCATCTTGATGTTATCGGTGTGTGTCAGCATATTTGTTTGATTCTTGGCCGTAAGATCGTAACTTTTCGCCTGGCCTGTCAGCCATTATCCATGACTTCCATCTGGGTTGGTGTTTGGTTTTGGGTTTGGGTTTTCGATTGGGGTTTGAATGCGAGTTTTGGGGCTGGGTTGCTTGACCAGCAATCGTACGATCGTGCCTCAATTTGGGGCAATATGCAGTGTCACTTGGTGGGAGGAGAAATACGCAAAGACAAAGGGGAAACCGTGAGGAATTCAAACTACACACAAGAGACGTGGAAATAAATCCGAAGCAAATGTGTCAAGCGCCAGGCAAATTTTTCAACAATACAAAAAAAAAAAAGACAAAAATGCTTGAAATGTTCTTTTGACACTCTCGGCATTCTCCAATCCCATAATTTATTTGATCACGCTTTTCCGAGACGATTGTTGACGGAAGCGCACGAATTGCCATTGCAAATTGCAATTGCACCTCGTAGACAAAAGCGAAATTCGCAATGTGGCAAACTTGAATTAGCCAAATGATGATCCGGCCGGCCAATCGATCGTAGAATGTTCGACGATCTTCGACCTTGGCGCCTTTTTAAGCCGTAACTTCCAGGTTGTTAAGGATAAGCAGCATAGACATCTGGCAACGATACATTGACCATGATTTCGCATTGATGAGGCAATAGTTTTATTGATACTTTTCACTAGCTACTATAGCTCATTATTCCGCTGATCCGGAGTTTCTATGTTATGCACAATTATATTTTAAATAAAAACTCAAAATTAATGTACCTGAAATGCTTGTAAGCCAGCTAGCACTTAAGAGATATATTATATTAACATAAAACTCTAAACGATTTGCCCTGCTTTTCCTTAAAACTCAATGCCTGAATAACATGCGATTTAGTATTATTTTGAAATTTCTTAGAATCAAAACAAAGACCTCACACTTTTCAGTTATTTTCAAAATTTTTTCCGGACTTCAAAAAGTACCCAGCCGCCCAGTCGACCAGGCCAATGATAATGTCCCAATTTGTGTTCTGGAGAAGCGATCCCAAAAAGAATCAGCTCGAGCAGATCTCGCCCATCTGGAAGGATTTGAATGCAACATTTGTGACGTAATACTTTCTACTATTGTTTCTACTATTTACCACTATATTCCCAATAGCTTCCTCAGCTGGAGTTGGCTTATCTACACCTTTTCCGCATTGGTCATCATCGTTTGCGCATATTTTGCATATTGTGAGCGCTGCCGGAGAACCGAGTCACTGCGACGTCGACGGGTGATTCAAAGAGCTCAAGAGCGGTATAATAGTTATGGTTTAAATTTAATTTAATGTTTTAATATAGTATATATATGTAAAAGGCCCCCACAAAAGCGACGACCGAATGCGGCTTATCGGGATCACCAGATCTATCGCCACATCATCCTCAGCGTAGCCAAGTACATGAAGAATCCGGATGGCATTCGACCCTTTATAGAACACATGGAGCAGCTATATCCACTTAGGCATAACTTGGCCGATCAGCAGCAGGTGGCCGAACCAAGTGCTGGAGAAGATTAGTGATCCAGGGGGTAAAACCAAACGAATAATTTTGCATCGAAATTAATAGAATTTAAAACTTACAAACTATTTTTTTTAATTAGGAATCTTAAAACCACTGAAGTGCTCTTACTTTTTCTTCAACTACTTTTACTTCTATATAAAAGTGCACAACTAAAAGGGCAAACATGCCAAATACCATAAATACATTTTATGCAAAAAATACAAATTTAAAGTCCTACCAATTTTAACCCCATGAAAACTTGAAGGTAATACCAATTACCCACTGGAGAGGAGCAACTAGATAAATTAATTAGTTTAACCAGGCTCACGCTTTTGGCCAACTCAAATTGGGTCATGCGCAGTGGGAGATTCTGGTCGGCGGTGCCTAAAAATATGCAGTGCTATTTTTACCTGCCACAAATATAAACAAACGCCATGTGCGTTTGCCGAGCTTTCAGCTGGCGAAAGCTTCGCTTTCTCTCGCTTCCTGTTGCTGCTTTTCCATTTCCATTTCCAGCTGCCCTCTCTCTCTCTCTTTCTCTTTTGGGAGAGAGTTGGCCGAGTTGTCGGGGCGTTAGCAGAAGAGAAGAAAAGCGATGGAAAAGCGGAAAACAGTTGCCAGTTAGACAGTGAGCGCGTCGCATCTACGCACGCATCGAAAAGATTCAGCGGCAGCAGCAGCAGCGCGTTCAGTGGTTGTTGTTGTTGGAAACGGTGGAAGCACACACACACACACTGACACACAGCACCAACACACACCCGCACACACACACACGCCAACACGCGGCCAGCAAACACACTTTTCGGCTGGCCAAGTGAAACAAAAGTTTGTTCATCCTTAATTTTCATTGTATACGGCGAGTGCCAATCACAATCAAAAAGGGAACATTTCAAAATTCAAATCGCAAAGTGAATTCAATTAAATTGTGCAAATTACGAGCTGGAGGATAATTGAAAAATCAAGGCACACACCTGCGCACATGTGTCTGTGAGAGGGTCCTGTGTGCGCCGTACGTGTGTACTGGTATCTGTGTGAGCACGCCTTTGGCTGTATGTGTGTTGAAGGCTAAGCAGAAAATCAGCAGCCCACGAAAAAGCCAACAAGTAAAGCGAAAAATTAATGTTGCATGTGCCCCGAAAATCGGGAAATTGAAAATGGAAAATTAACCGAAGAAATAAAGTTCGACAGTGCAAAGTGACGGCGTTTGAAAGATATTTTACTATCGCGTCATTAAAGCCATAAATCGTGCCCCTTATAAATTATCTTATCTGGGGAAAAAATCCATTGAAATCAACACCACATAATGCATGCATTAACATATTATTTGATTGATCTATTAGTGAAAAATACACAGGCTGCTTAAAGTTTCTTTGAGGGCCACCGACTTTGGTTAGATATATCTTAAGCCCACATTCATCTAGATATTTTACAGTTCTTGCCTGTTGCAGCCAAAGCGTTAGCAAACATAGTGATAAAGACAAAGTGTTCAAGACAAAATGTAATCAATACCATTAAAAATTATACAACAAGAAATCAACTTATTAATCAACCGATCAACTGGAAAACTGAGCAATGTCAAGGCAAAGGTTCTCAACAGCATGTCCCGTTTAAGGTGAGTAGTTTTTCGGGAGTGGGAGCATAAAGTCGAGCTTTGCTCCAGACGCATCCTACCTCAACAACCTCAAAAAAACGAAGATGGATGGGAAGAAAAGGGGGGCGAAGGCGAATGAGCGAACCAAAACATAAACAACCCCGAAAAGAGCGAAACTCTAGAAGTAATGTTCGAAAAGAAATGGATGGCTAGCACTGGAAACAATTCCATAATAGTAATAGAATGTTGGGTATTTTCAGTGGTATATTTTAACTGTTAAGTAAAAACAGATTTTTTTGAAAATATTAAAAAAAATTTCTTGTTTATGAGAACAGAATGAAACAACATTCACTTTCACCATACTTAAAAAAGACTAATGACTTGTCTTGCTTACTTTTTCCCAGTGCACTCGTGTCCTTTCTTCTACAATCGGAAATGCTGTGCTGTTCTTTTCATCTCCCTTATGCTCGCTCCTTCGCCGTTGATGTAGAGATACGAAAATAGGCAAAGTTTAGCAAAAAACCAAAGAATTTCAGTTGAAAAGCTCAATGCAAAGAATGGCAGCATTCGTTGGGGATTAGCCAAAGCCAAAGACTTTGCGCAAATACTGAAAAGCTCGGCCTGAGCGCATCATTTTCCACGCAAATTTCGTTTGCGAAAATTTCAATTTATGTGTAGCAAACCGGATTTGCAGGATATATGTACAGGATATGTCGAGCATGCAGCAGCCAAGATTATGTATCTGTAACTCGGTCACACGTTATACGCTTCTCCGCTTTTTTCTCATCACAGCCATTTTATTGACTTTGTCGTTTTATAGGCAATTTGTCTTTTGGCAGCCGTCGATAGCTTTCGCTGTCATAAAATTACGCGCCAAGCGAATGCCCCGTATCCTTATTCTTATCCTTATCGGCAAGGACCGGGTTTCGGGCCCGGACTCTTTCGCTGCCAACTTGTTTATATTGTCGTAAATTTGCCTTCAAGGACGCGGCAACACCGCACAGTCTGCCTCCCTTGCTCCCCACCCTTACCCTCTCACATGGCCATTTTATCGATCACACAATGGGAAATTTCACACGTTGTCCCAAAGGGCTGCGAAATGGGTTGGGGAAGGTACAGTGGTCGCTCCTGGCGTCCTTTAATTCGAATCTCCAGGATATGATACTTTCACTACCACAAATCGGAGCTAACAATGCGAATCAGGTGGAGAACTTGATTATATGTATAGGAAATACATTCTATGTATTACATATCTTGATCTTAAGACCTTAAAGATCTAACAATTAACTTGACAGACTTTCACTGAAATGGTTTAAGCCCTCATGCAACATTTTCCTTTTACGCAGAGAACACTGTGGCAGCAGACCCGTTGTGTTGAGTTGCGTTTCGTTGCTCGTCTTTAATTACGTGCACTGCAATTGGCAGCTTCAAGGTCGTTGCCGTCTTTTGCATAATTAAGGGTCACCCACCACCGTCCACCGCCCACCGCCCACCGCCCAGCGTGGCACCCACTCTGACTCATTGGTGCGCCCATCGCAAGTGGCTTTTGTTCTTGCAACACAGTTTCTGTTTCTGAATAATGCAATTGACGCGGGCGTGTGGGCGCTGACACAGTTGCCATTTTTCACACATGACCAGCCAGAAAACAGAAACCAGAGACCAGAGACCAGAGTCCAGGCACAACTAACAACTACCACCGTGCAACGTGCGACGAGCAGCATGCAACATTCGCCGCATGTCCGGCACTCGAGTGCAATTTCCATAGCACACTTCAAGGCTGGCCGCAGTCTAATTTACATGGCAAATGACGCTGCTCTGGCTTTCTCCGCTTTCTCTGCTTTCTCCGCCCTCTCCGCTTTGCATTTATGACTCGTGACGTGCGATGGCGATTGTCCACCATGCTTTTCTTCACCGTTTTGTGTTTCGACACACGTATTCAATTAGCCCGATAAAGGAAGCAAAATGCCGCAGCTGCTGCAGCCCACACATTTGCATATGAAAGTCCGGGGAAATTCGAGGGTGCTGCTGTTTGTTGGCAGAAAAAGTGGGCCGTTTTAGCCTTGAAATAAAACGGTAGCATCAACCTCAGGAGAATATTTTTTATGGGATTACTAATTATTATTATTCTTGTTTACTTATGCTCAGAAAGATTATCACCGTAGGTTAATGTTATTTACATACTCTTACACAAATACTTTCTACTTAATAATACTGCTTTAGAAATTATTTTCTTTAATACAACCATTCAAATATCTTATAATGTAATGCAAATTATTTGTAATATGTCTGCGTTGCTGTGAAGTATTAAGTTTTAGGTTATTAATGTTCACTTTTTCATCTACCGATCTGCAAGAATTGTGCTGTATATTTTCTCATATTTATATCTCTTGAGATTTATGACCACAACGTGTCTGCATTTCGCGAATGTCCCGTGCTTTTTATATTTTGTGGCAGCCACAAGTAAAATTTTGGAAAGTAAAAGTGCGGTTGTTGTTTGGCGGCTTTTAGGTTCGACAACAAATAGCTATCAAAGCACATGAGGCTAAAAAAGTCTTTCTATATTTAAACGGCTTAACATAACAACAACTAATTGAACATAATAAATACATATGTGTGACGAATTCTAGTCTGCTAATGACGAGCAAATGCTCTTTGAAAAAGTTTGATAATTATTTGGGCATACCCGAGCACAAAAACCACATTTAGCCAAGTAAAAGGAAAACACTTAAACCAAAACTGGCAGGGGAGAAAAACAAAACAAACGCTGGTCGATAGACGGCCTAAGTGGGCACACCCATTCAGCCTAAATTCTCCAACACTCCCCTATTTTTCGCTCTCAATTTTCCGCCCCTCCCCATTTTCCCGCCCGTGCTTTTCCCGATACCCCCTGCCCTCCAATGCCTTCACCCCCTTCTACGCACACACAAATCGCAACTCTCTGTTTGTCCAGGCCATCGTCTAATTAGTTGTGGGCTGTGACCGCCTTGATTTATATATTTATGATGGGCGTGGCCCTGGGCTAGTGCCAACTAATTGTCGCCGGGCATCCCCGTTCCCTTCCCCTTTTTTTCTTAAATGCAAAGAGTAGCTTTCTTTTTACCCCTAGAAACAGATACAGATGCAGATACAGATACAAAACCCGTGCACCGACACACGTTAATAAGTGTGCATTTGGCAGCTGCTGCGAACAAATTGCTTAAATGTCAAACCGTCCTCAAAGCTTCCAAAGGAATCCCGGCCAGACTTGCCAGCTCATTTAGCTTCAGCTGGCACATTGAGCCAATAAGCCTTTGCTGCACTGAGACAAAAGTAGAGCAGGGATTTCAGGGATATCCTTAATTAAATAATATATATTAATTGATCAGCTGCCTAGTTGGGAATCACGTTTTCTAACATGTATGATCGAATGAAGCTTGGTGTAATCAATATTAGAAATATTTGACCATTTATAAATGAAATCTTTTGTATTTTCTAAAGCTAACTAGCTTATATTGGTTGAGTAATTTTGTACATTTTTTCTCTGTGTACTTGCATAAAAACCGCATCGTCATGATCCCGCCT